GTTAGTGGAGTTCTCTTTCCAGTATTGATTGCGGTTATTTACATTCAATATTTAAATTTTACAACAATGTAAAATCTAATTCATTTAATTATGAAACTTATTTTCGGATGTCCAATTCTTACTTAATGTAGATCGATTGATCGATCAAACATTCCCTATTACACGTTCGCTGCGCCAGGTTAATTACCCCTTTTCTTGTTTGTGGCTGGTCCGACAGTCCTCGAGCGGCTGCGCTTCGCCTCCCCTAGATCTAGACGTACTTCCCACCGTCTTGGGTTCTATAAGTTCAGTGACCCCGTCAACCTTGCTTCACCTCTGTAACCGTGTTAAGTAATTGATCCACGGTACGAGACAAACTGTGGACTATAATTTGATTTTTTAACGGGACTACTTTCACCTTACATTTACTTGTTGGTTTTTTATTTGTTATTCCATGTATACACCATTACCGATACCATTCAATAACCAATAGCAGTTAATAAACTAATAATTTTACATTTTTGCTAGAAAGTATTATCCCACAAAATCTCAATCTCAGATCAGAGATCAGGTAACACACGAAGTTTCACGTTGTCTAACCTCGTAAAATATAATTTTACATTTTTGTTTAGAAGGGCCCCCCGTATCGGGGGCCTGGGGGGGATCTCCTACACTACAGGTTGGTTGGTTAATACAAGTATGGTATGACCTTTATGTAAACTTTCGGAAATTTACTACCATACACAGAAAGAACACGACCGCCTGTTATCTTTGTATTACCGCCCTTCGTTGAAGGCGTGGCGCGTGGTGAATTTTACAGGTGGCGCGCGGCGCGAGTGTAAAAACGAACCCGGGCGCACCGGAATCGTTGGCGACGATACTGAGGTAGGATCCCCTTTGTGGACTTTACAAGTAAAAGGTCCAAGTATACACATAAATCGAGGAGATGAACACTGTATATGAAGGTCGAAATTACAAGTCTTTCGAATAAAAAGAGTATGACCGGACACGACCCGTCGTGGAGAAAAAGTGTGAAGACAGACACAGACACCCTCTTTTTAAGGTAGACCTTCTTTGTTTCCCTACAATCGGAAAACGTCTGGTAGAATGGTACGTGTTTTTGGATATTGTGTATTTTACACGAATTGGTTTCGCACAACCTTAATTTGTTACTCAGTTTATCTCCGCAAAGCCGTCTCCCCCTCGTAACCCTCTCTCTTGAAACCCTAAAATTCGGAAAACGTCTTGGGTAAGTGTACTTGTTTTTTTAGATATATAAAATCGAGTGTTGTCCTTTTCCCTTTTTTGTGTTTTCGTATTATCCCGGAGGAAATTGGACCGCAATTCGGACAAAAAGTCCTTAGCTGTAACGGGTCTTGTTTCCACTAATATTGAAGTGAAGATTTTCCCATTTAATAGAAATAAGAGTTCTTACTATCTTTGGACACTCAACCTACATCTTTTCAGTCTAGTTATATTTCAGTTAACTTGTATCATTTTTTTTACACAAAGCCAGGTTCTTTATTTGGTAGTGTCCGGGAAGTGTGATCGAAGCTGTTCGAAAGTTTTTGCCAAAGGTTGCGCAGACGGGTAAGGAAACTTACCCCACTGAAGTGGCCAACGGGAGGCGAAAAGCGGCTTGCCTGTAACACCTCATCTGTCTCGCCTCGAAACAGGACGTGTACCGCAATGTCAGTCCTAGTCCGACTTTTCAACTCGACGGTTTACCAGTTGAAACTTCGAAGACTTCGAAAGCCACCTTCGCAAGTCGGTTAGTTTCGTACTAAGGTCATGTTCAGATCGGTTAGTTGTGGCACGAACACACAGTCCCCGCGCCTCTAAGTAACATTAACCAAACCAGCCGAAGTCTGTTCGGCGGCCGTCGAAAAAAACTTCGACATCCACCACCTGCCGGCAATGAATATCACTTTTGAAAATTTATGTCTGCTTCAACTTGCTGTTGTCTGTCTTGTCAGGCAGTTTTCCTTCAGCTCTGAAAATGACAGCTTTCTCGCGTATCGGTGGCTCGAAGTTGCCGCGAGCGCTAGGGGGCAGCACTTATAATTCTTTTAGCGCCGCTGCTGAAAACATATAGGGGAAACACTGAATTGTATGTCCTCCTTAATAACCCACACCCACTAGTTAGTTTGGAATTACCCTTCTTGGATTCTAAATTCACATTTGAATGGTGACCATAAATAGTTTTCATGCCAATGTCTAAAGCCTTTGTTTCTGCCACTGTCAGACAGAGCATCCTGTCGCCCTACTCAGATTGGTGTGTCCAGCACCGTCGTGTCTTTTCGGTCTTTTCGGTCATGCCGACACCTTCCACTCCAGATTCAACATACACACACAGACGGCTATTATTTTTCATTTTCCAGTACCGCTAAACATGTTTTCGATTATAAGTCGTTACGTGAAACAGTCTGTGAAACAGTCTGTGATGGACGAGAGTGAAAATGGAACGCACGCTATTTGTTGTTTGTATATATCACGCAATCTGTCTTCCGGTTGCCTCTTTTGAATGACGAATACACACTACCGCCACTTGCTGGTAAGGAAAGTTATTGCCACTCACGCATGCGGAGTGCGTACGTGCTACTTGGCCGTCGGCTGAAGTCTTTGCGGTGTGTTCCAGTACGACTTTTTGGCCAAGACACAGGAGACGTGAGGCGACAACATCGGGTCCGTCGGGACGTGTTCTTTGGTGTCAGTTTGTTGTGTCAGGGCCTTAAGATCATGCTTCAATGGTGTTATTGGTATGATACTGCCTGTAGAATTAGATTCCAGTGTGATGGTTTGAAACTTGGATCATCCAGAGATTTCCAATAACACAAAAGCATTCAAATGTCAGCATCTATTTAAAGGTGACCTATCGTGCAAAATGCACTTTTGTACGTCTTTTATACATGAATATGTGTCCCCGGTGTTCCAGGGAACTCACCAAGTGTCAGAAAACAAAACCCTCTCTATTTTCCTCCATGCTCAAATCTCTTAAAAAGGGGCTGCAACGGATCTGATACAGACTGATCCAGATTTGAACGCTTCTATGACGTCACAGAAGTGGCTACGGCTATTGGGCCAACTCCACCAATCAGGAGGAGACAGCCACGGACATTGCTGTTTGAAAGCGCTGGAGACGCTGTAGTACATATGCCAGGCCTGTAGATGGTGCTGTTCTCACAAAATCAGCCCATGCAAAGACAGTGTTAAATTGAGCGAAATGAGGAATAGCTAAAATGCATGATCTGTTTGGTATTTTGAAAAATAAAAAGTATAAATATGCCTTATATAGGTATGGTCCTACACTATATTATTAAAATATAGCATGATAGGTCCACTTTAAATAAAATAGATGTTATAATTTTCATGATTCACGACAGAATATTCTGCTTCAATCCATTTGTGTTTCTGTTGAGCTTTTCACAAAGGTTCACTGTGGTCAGAAGAGGTTTGCTGTCCCACTCATTGGCACACAGAGGGAGGCTTGTGCTGCTGAGTTATATCCATTGAGAAAGTTGATTTATTAAGGAAAAGACTAAACTATATAATTAGATGATTTCATTTATTTAAATTGAGGATTCATTTTCTGAGGTTGATGAGGTGATAAAATATTACAACAGTCATTAAAAAACCCAATAGAATCTTTTAATGTAAAAAAAATGACAGTAATAACTGTGTGTGTTTGTGACAGAATGAAGTGCCCCAAATCGTCGGGGAAATCTACCAAAAGTTCTTTGTGGAGAGCAGAGAGATCCCAGTGGAGAAGTTCCTCCTAAAGGAGATCCAACAGAGTCTGGTGGGGAACAGAGGAACACAAGTGTTTGTCCGACTCCAAGAACAGGTAACGGCTGCTTCTGCTACTCACTAACTGTAACAAATAGCCTCTCATTAAAGGTCAGAGTAACTACAATAATCTTCGCAATGTGAGAAGCTGTGTCTCAAATTTGCATACTTCTGTACATAAATGTACTGTTTTGTGAAGAAGTGCATGCCAATGTACTGCAAAATGCTCCATGAGTCCTGGATGGTGCACTCACAATGGTCAACAAGTTGAGTTTGGAATGCTGGACACTTCTAACCGTTACTGATTGCCATCTTGGTTACGTAACAAAAGTAGGGGAACTAGCCACACAGCACTGTGCAAATAAAAGTTATACATGTATATGTTTTTTTCATTATTTATGTAACATACCACTTGGTGTCCAAAGGAAGCCATTATTAATTGTATTGGGTAAAATGAACAGACTATAATGATGGATCCTTGTAGGGCTGCAAAAACAAATGAAATGTTAATGAAATTGCAATATATAGTGCATTCTCCAAATCACAGTAAACAACCCAATTTGGCAAAATATGTGAACATATTTTTCTGAATGGAGTATTGTGATGCTTCCGATAAGTCCTGGCCTACAAATTGTATTCTACAGACAGAATAAAATATCCATGTTTGGTACAGAACCTCCAAAAAAGATAATCCCCTCTAATATCAGGAATCATATCGTTATTGCAATGTCAGTAAACAATATCCAGTTGGTAACTTAGTCCAGATTGGGTATCCCTAATACTATACTTCAAACAAAAGTGTTGTTAGCGTTTGCTAGCTAGTTGTTAGCTTCCTAGTTATAAGCTAGTTGGTTGTAAGCGTTGGCTAGCTAGTTAGTCGATCTGTCCTCGTCCATCGTCAATTCTGGTGAGGACACAGCAGCTATGTGTGATTTGAGACCACGCTACATGATCAAAATTAACACACTAAAACATTCTCACAGTGCATGACATGCAATCTACTACTAAGTGGAGTATCTGAATTTAGACAGAAACAATTGTTAAACATTGAAGATGAATTATTTCTGATGTCTCCTGCAGGTGGCAGAGACGATGAGAGAGCGCTACTACCCCTCCTTCCTGGTTTCTGACCACTACGATAAACTGATCAGACGAGAAGAGCAGAACAGCCAATCACAGTGCAGCATTGAGGAGAAGGAGGAAGAGGTCAGTCACACACTGTTTCGTCAGAACTATTCATCTTTTAATAAACCCTGGTGTATCATTTTTGAGTGTGTAAAGCTTTTAATAAATATATTTCTCTTTTGCTGGAGTGCCAGGGTCTGGAGTCAGGAGAGGAGGTGGGGGATGAAGGCAGTAAAAGAATCAACGAGCAGGCCAGTTATGCTGCGACCAAGCTCCGACAACTCTACGACAAACTGGAGTATAAGCGCCAGGCCTTGGGCTCCATCCAGAACGCTCCCAAACCAGACAAAAAGGTGACAAATAAAGGGCTAAAATCACAATTCACTTCAGTAGAGAGACTTAAAAGACACTCAGGATAAAAGTTCATCCAGACCTCTCGAGCATGGTGTATGTCAGGGGTGTGCAACCTTTTTGACCAAAAGAGCCATTTTGCCCCCTTTTCGAACACTTTTTTTTTTCTGGAGCCGCAAAACATATTTGATAGCTTGATAGCTTATAAAGTTGTATATATTGTTATATCATAGACAAAAACTACAGTTTTTTTGCATTTATTATTTATTACATTATATAAAACTGTTTACCTCTAATAATAAACAAAGAACTCTTATAAGGAGAATTAAAAAATATATACACAGGCCTACTTTAAAATAAATTAAACACAGCACATTTGAAGAAAATAAATACAATTAAAATTGACCCACTTTGAAATAAATAAAACATATAGCTGCACCCTAAAAAGAGTTAAAGGTAGGGTAGGTAATTCACTTCAGAAATACTTTTTGTTATATTCCATGGAATGCTCTTAACATCCCGATAGCCAATTGAATATATCCTACCATGCTTTGACAATAAATACATAAAAAAATGTAATCTGGTGGAGAGCCGTGTACTTTAAAAAGCCACGACCAATTATCTGAGCCGGCCCGGCTAAATACACTGGATGGCCTACCTGCCTGTCACTTTCTCTGTGCACAAACTTATCCTCGTGCCCCTCAATTGTCATGTGCACGTTCGGTATTTTTTGGAGGAGGGCCTCTGTAGGAATGTGCAGATTTTTTCCGGTTTGTATTTTTCAAATCTAAGCACACTAAGCTGGTTCTCCAAAATTACATACCACCCTTTAACTGATTGGAATTATGACTGAAGGTCGGCAGCTTTCTTCTCTCCGTTTTTATCCTCGATAGGTAAAGGCTGCAGCAACCTTGACAACTCAAATCGTGTTGCTGTGAAAGCATAATAACTCTAACCATGCAGAATTAAACCCTCTGGTGTTTCCTACCGAACTAACTTTTATTTTCTTTGATTTATCCATAGTTCGCCTCAATTGAGCCGGGGGGTCAGGTTATCACCCTGCAAGAAAAGGGGCTGGTGCGGGACCGTTGCAGGATATGACCATTTTTTTGTGACTTAATTAACACCATTTGTTTTTATTTTATGTGTATGTTATTTTNTCATAACTGCTTTAAAGTACAAAAAAACTACTCGCTCAGGTGTGGATGTGGTTTTGTAGCGAGGAAAGAAATGGCTGCATAACAAAAAAAATGCAGTCTAACGGGGCGTGGTTTGCAATTCGCCCAGCCAATAGAAATAGAATAGAAATTGGCACTCTTTTATCACCAGGTTCGTACCACCTCTCTAGCAGGGACTGAAAATGGCCAAAAGAGTTCCCGGCACTGAGTAGTCCCGGCGGTGTGAACGCAACATTATTGGTACTAACGGAACTAAAGAACCAAAGTACCAGGGAAAGTCCTGCGGTGTGAATGCGGCTATTAAAGCAAAAAGTGAATTCCGTTTTTCTAAATACATTTTTTTCCTCATATTTCTCCTAAAAACAGAGAAAATATTATATTTAATTTAAACAAGTACAAATAATAACAGCGCAATAGCTTTTTATAGTGTCACCTAATATCCAGGGCTTAATAGAGTAACATCTAGAAGTTCCATCATAAGGGACATTTGAAGTCCTAAACCTATATTTTGAATGTCCTATTTTTCTAGTTATAATAGTTTTACCAACATTTGTATAAACTGTTTCTGTATTTCATCTTTCAACTTTGACAAACAACTACAAAATATCTTAATACCCAAAGTGCCCAATGAAGAAAAGATAATTAAATAGGTACTTACAGTATTACTCTGTGGATATGGGGAAGTTCTCGTTTCCTCTGAATTGACCGGTATGAAGCAGACTCGCTTGTGAACCATTCCAGAGAGGTATTCTAATGATTAGCTTCATGTCCAAAACAACAGTACTTGTGTTCGGCTACTGGATGTATTTGTTTTATGCAAATAGTGCAATTACATTACTGAAGGGGAGTTTGTTTCATGTATGATGTCACAGTCTAAATTCCACTGCTACAGTACACCAGGTGGTTCAACAGTCATGTTATTTCATGTAGAATAACCTCATGGAAAACCACTGAAGGCTTCCAGGTTTACACGTGTGTCTCAGCCTTTAGGGAAGTAGTGAATGTTAAAAAAAACTGCATAGCATAACCACAATGTGACCAGATACATACATGCTGACACTGTGAAGAGCATGAAAAATGTTTAATATATACATATATACACATGATGAACATCAGAAGCCTATTTTAAATATAATATATTTTATCTGTAGGATAAGGCCACCAGACATACACTCTTAGAGAATCTCTGCTGTCTCACTGCACCCAATCAAAGCCAGATCAGACTCAGATCTGTGTACACATATTTGCCTTTGGACACAACGTGGAAAAGGTGGATGCGTGTCTGGAGGCATAAAAACTATTTGCAATTGTTTCTTAAACCTCTGGAGAACTCCAGGAGAACCAATGCATTTGCTTATTCTGGGTTTTCTTCTGGACCCTATTTCGTACTGTACATTTAGGGTTAGGGGAATGGAGAAATAACCAACGTGGTCTCATCACATCAATGCTTTGCAGTCTCTTTGTAACTTACTGTGTACCCTTGGTGTTACTTTGGATTAGGCAACAACACTACTTGGTGATGTTAAAAGAAAAAGGTTAATTGTTTGGGTTAAATTAGGAGTAATTTATGTAATGTAAATGCGTGAAATATGTGACGTTGGTTAAGTATGTTATACGTTTTCCTAGGTGCATAATATATAGTAAGATTAGTCACTTCTCTACGCAGACAGAGTTAAAGTGAGCTGTTGTCTAACCTATTATTGTTGTGGATTGGTTTACATGAATTCACATTTTGTAAGCATGGTGCTGGTACAAACACTTAAGGGTGCCATGCTTTTACTACCTGCAAGAGCATTCACCAACAAAATAAAACTGTACTGAAAGCTGCTTGGCAAAATCTGTGCGCTCAAACATGGGTGGCAACCCCTTCATACCACTACAGTCATGCATGGATGGGGGGGGAAAGCAGCTATGGGTTTGGGTATTAAACGTTGAGCGGCGTTACAAATTGTCAGTATTTTACAACCTGGGAGAAAGACAACTGCTATTCTGAATGTTGTTCAGAGGAGGAAATCAAAAGGCAAAGGGCATAAACATGACAGCGGGAAATGTCATGGTTCAAATTTAGATTTTGCTTATCTGTGAGTAGCTTGCAAGTTTTTTTCATGATCAAATATTTGCGACAGAATGGAAGTAGGAAAACTGCTTTTGCTAGGTATGGAGGAGACATAAAAAATAAATAAAAGTCTTGATGTGTTGGGTGAGGCTTAGGTGTTGGTGCCGGGTGTTACACTAGTAGTTGATTGCTGTCCATTCTTTCTGAGAGACATCACGAACCACAGGAAGATGAATAAACCTCAGTCAAATAAGTGAAGAGAAAAGTGAGAGGATCATGCAAAACATGCAAATACCCTGATACACTTTATAACTTTGTCATGTAACTGTTTGTCAATATAAAAATATTCTACATGTCAGACCAATATCCATTACACATAAAATATCAATACATTGTCTCATATGCACAATATTTTGTTGCTGACATTTGAGTAATCTAAAGATAGACAGTTTATGGTGAAGTTCTCCATGCAGCTGCACACGTGTTTCCATTCCCAAATTGCCCTGTATGGTCTGGCATGGATCAAACATTGCGGTCCCAGCTCTTAACCACGTTAGATTGGGAGTTAACATGTGCATCAACTATGTTCAGCTTTAGTTCCCCATTCTAATAGTCAAACCAAGAGGATCAACTTTGCAGAAACAACGAGTATAGTGTCATTGAAATATACAACCAATATGTGCTGAACATGATCAGGTGGTGCAGACCTTGCAGTGAGTTGAGGATACAGAAGAGGTAGAGGCCAGGCGTGGTCAGGTAGCCAAAGGAGAAGAAGACTGGTCTTCTTCTCCTTTGGCTACCTGACCACGCCTGGCCTCTACCTCTTCTGTATCCTCAACTCACTGCAAGGTCTGCACCACCTGATCATGTTCAGCACATANAACGTAGGGATCTTACAATTTCAGAGGCGTTTTTGTAGAAATACTACGTCCCAAGTTGTGGACCAAAGTAGTTATTACACGTTTAGATGTGAGACTGGGTTGGCTCAGCTCATTCCTCTTCTCCCTTTTTTCCCATGACTGCATTCCTGTGCATAGTTCCAACGCCATTATTAAGTTTGCAGATGACACCAATATGGTTGGCCTTATCAGCGACATCTATAAGTTAGCCTACAAGGAGGAGGTCCAGAATTATTAGTCACCTGAATATATGCTTTTTTTTTATCGAAGAGGTTTCGATTTATTAGAGAAAACCTTCAGCTATAGGCTATCTTTATTTCTCTTTGCAGATGCTATATAGGGAATACCACAGTGAAGCTGGTGACTACATTGGGAGTGTTTGGCTTGGTTTTCCTCTTTAACGCGATCATGTTGGGGGTGACAGTAAGACGCGTTGTGAGTCTCCACCAGAGCAAAAAGGTAGGACTCAACCTGCACTCTTTGCATTCTACTCTACTTGTCTGTAAATATGCTCTTAAAGGAGGATTCCAGTTAATTCCATAAAGCTTTAGCTGTCGGTGTATCCCATCCAAACCAACAACCATTACAGTAGTGCAGTGTTGATCTGCACTACTGAATCAACACGCCCAACCGCCCTCTCAGGTCAGCTGATCAACTGCTCCTGAATGTGCCCAGAACCAAGTAAAAGCTCAGAGGGGACCGTTGCTTCTCTGTAGCGGCTCCCACACAGTGGAACGATCTGCCCCTGCATATCAGACAGGCCTCCAAACTGTCTGCTTTTAAATCGCTTCTTAAAACCCTCCTCTTCTCCATACCGTATTGACATCTTTTAGAGTGTTGCTTTTATTGCTTTTAAATTGTCTATTGTTTTTACTTGTACTTTTTTATGGTGTGTGAGCTGTGCTGTGTGATTTATTTTATGTTTTGTTTATTTGACTGTACAGAACTTTGGTCTGGAGGTTTAAAGTGCTTTATAAATAAAGCTGTATTGTATGTATTTCTGGAGGCCGACCCAGAAGTTAGCATGTAAGGGCTTCTACGCCAAAAATACATTTGAATTTTTCCACAGTTGCATGGCTTCCTGTTACCTTCGCTAAGCTAAGAGCAGCTGCTGTTCAACGTGACCACATTTAGTAGTCATTTTAGCCACTTGTTAGCAACCTTAATTTTGATGTAACATAGAAGCATCAGACATTCACCAGTGGGGCATTTACTGACAACTTTAACATCCTAGGACAACATGTAAGAGTCCCTCCAGCTTGTGTTAACCACAGACAAAATGCTGGTAAAATGCTAACTTGTTTTTTAGGTGGAAGACTCATTCCTGCACAATTCTATTGAATCGATGTTCTTACAAACATTGTGTGTCCATTTAAAGCCTGATATCATTGAGTCCTCTGTGTCAAAGAGCTCCATTGATGTCCAAAAGCTATTAAAAACACTCAATAAGCCCCACTCTTGCAGTGGATGACATGTTCCTTTATTACAATTAACACACACACTGTATTTATTTCTGATCATTTGCATGCAACCTAAACATTGTTTTCTCTTTTATACGCACCTTCTAGAAGAAAACATGTCATAATGACTCCTGGGGGCACAGTTTTAAACAAATTAAAGAAAGTAGTATTTTCTTGTGTATTGTACTTAAAAACAGTTATGATTTTCCCTCTACTCAACAATATGAACTTCATGGTACGTACTCTCCGATGTTCTATGACCTGCTGATGTGTCATTTTAAGCTTTGTTTTGTGAGTCAGTTTGGGCAGAGCGACAGTAACAGAGCCAAGAAGGACATCTGTACGCTGCTCGGAGTCACCGCTCTGCTGGGCATTACCTGGGGTCTGGTCTTCTTCTCCTTTGGCTACCTGACCACGCCTGGCCTCTACCTCTTCTGCATCCTCAACTCACTGCAAGGTCTGCACCACCTGATCATGTTCAGCTCTATTTGATGACGTTAATATTGGTTGTATATTTCATTGACACTTGTATGCAAAGTTGGTCCTCTTGGGTTTACATTTAGGATGGGGCACAACAGTATGACACTTTCATAAATACAGAAAGCTGATACAAAAAGAAAGTGGTTAAGAGCAGGGACTTTAATACTTGATCCAAGCCAGACCATTCAGGGCAATTTGGGTCTCTCCTACTCTGAATGTCTGATGGAAATACGACCTCCTTTGCTTTCTCAAACACTTTTCGTGTCACTCCTTTAACGCAGGTTTCTTCATCTTCCTGTGGTTCGTGATGTCTTTGAGAAAGAAAGGAGATCCATCTACTAAGAGTAGTGTAACACGCAGCATCAACACCTAAGCACTACACCAGAGACTTTTTTGTGATTATGTATGTATGTATACATGTATGTATGTATGAGTGTTGTGCGGAATTATAAAGCAATGCTGTAAAGTTTGATACTATTCTTTTTTTCTTGAAATCATTCATTTTATTTACACGCAAGTAGAAAGGGGTTAACTTGGGCAGATAACTGGTTAAGTGCCCTTTTTTAAGTGTTGTCATTGTCATACCCTGGTGTTTTAATAAATGAATGTATTGGTGTTTAATTTCATCGTCCATACCTGGCAAAAGCCATTATTCATACTTCAATTCTGTGCAAACATAATTAAACAGGAAAAAACATGCAAACTACTCTTTCGCACAGATAAACAAATCCAGATTTGAACCACAACATGTCTTAGTGTACGAAGGACATTCAGAATAGAAGTCTAGGCGATTACATACATGTCCGGTTTGAGGTTTTGCTACTGTACTGTGCATCAACTACACTTTATTGCTTAGGGTAACTTGCATGGGATGGTGAAGCAATTTTACTTCTTCCTTTGTTATTTAATTTTTTTTAATTTAATGACCACCGTACAAGCAAAACAGGTGGGTTTTTAGTCTGCGATTGAGGGTTTGTGGAATTTGTCCTGTCCTGATGTAAATGGGGAGCTCGATCCGCAATTAGGTGCCAGGTTCGCAAACATGAATGTATTTGTTGAGCTGTACCTGGTTCTAACTGGCAGTGAAGGGTGGCAAGCTGGGAGTTGCAGTAGTCAAGGCATTAAATGAAAAAAAGTGCTTATAGATACTGTCTTTTTATGTTAGTGAGCCGGATCATTTGGCTCGGCGCTCTTAAAGCGCCGGCTGTTTCGGTTCCCAAACGGCTCTTCATGTTACCAAAGTTTACCACGGAACCTCAGTTTTGCCGCTGCGAGGCTCTGGTGCTCAGAACGTGTGGTGCAGCTCACGTGCGTGCTCCACTAGCACCACTCATCGCGTCCAAATCGCGCACGTTCCGTGTTGTCCTGTAGCAGGCACCGCCGATGTCGGGGAAACGATCTTCAATACTCCGAAAAGAATCCCACCAAACTCCTTTGCCCCTCCAACAGAGGGAAGTCCTTGTCCTTTTTCCTTTTTGTTATTTCAAGCGATAAAAACTCTCGATCTTCTCTCGAATTATTAATATTTTTGGACACCCTCGGCTCGAGTTCAGGGCGTCCCGAGCAAGACGCCCCCCTGGCGGAAACACAGCTCTCCCCAGACCCATTCCCACAGCGTTTATCAACCTTTTTCTTACTCAATATCAAGCCACACTTATTGTTTTTACTACTTTATTTTAATTCTATAATGTCGGACTTTTGTTGCCGTCAGTTAGGGAGAGAGTAGGGGCTCAGAATACTGAAATCTGTAGGCTATTGTTTCATCGTTTTTTCCTTCTAATTTTGTATTATTTTCTAAACCACACACTGTTATTTACTCAACAATAAGACACAATTATCCCTGTGTTTGTTTATTTGTTTGATTGGTATAATGTCTGCTTATTTGGAAGTCCGTCAGGGACGGCGCGCTTTAGAGCATTTACACCGGTCACGGTAAGTAATTCTCTCTAATGTCGGATGCTTTTCATTAGGAAGCCAACTTGTTAGACGCTTTATCCAAGTGACTTTACATAGGCCTACTCAATGACTGTGGGCCAATCCCCCCCACAGGAGGCCCATTTGGGGTGAAGTGTCTTGGCCAGGGGACACAATGACATGCCTGACTTGCAGTGGGGTTTGCAAACCTTGTGCTCCCCTGATCCGCGCACTATCACTGCCGCACCAGCCTTCCCTACGTGCTACATGGATATCTTGCCATTACTCATTTCACACAAACACCAATTCCTACCGTGTTAATTTACACAACAGTTGATTGTTTAAATTGTGTACGATGCTTTTTGTGTTGTTTCCCCTTCCGATTCGGAGAACAAATAGTTTTTTCGGAGTTGGAAGGGAGGGCCGAAGGACACTACCTACCCATAATCCTCAGGCTTCGATCTTGCGGCTACACCAGGCTCCGTTTGCTTGACAACCGCCCGTGCATTAATCTTCAAGCCTGGTTGATTTGGGATGTGACTCGTGCGGCCAAGGTTACGCCAAGCGTAACAGCAGCCACTTGAAATGGAATGAGAACCCAGTGACGGCCACAGCATCCAAAACAGGCATACGAACGAAATCCTGTTGCTTTATCGACACCGGTTAAACATGTGACACCAGTGCAATTTTATGTTACATTTGTAATTCTACTCCATATAATCAGGAGGATAACCTGGCTCATTGTTACTCCACTACATTTTTTATTTACTTTCAGATTCTGATTTTAAGATGTGAAATATACAACCCTTCATCAGACTTTTAGTTGCACCTGAGTAAAATTCAGGTAGAGGTCGATTGTCAGGTGCCAACAATCAGGAGAGATATTGATAAAGGGGGTGCTTGCAAGACAAAAAATGTATCTGCACGATCCCTAAAGCATATTCATTACTCAGTTATTGTCTAATTGTTTCATTAAAAACTGTATATAATGCTCTTTTGCACATCCCTTTTTCAGATTTTCTAAGGTTTCATTGAGCATTATCATCAACTATGGTGTAGTTACTGCATGAATTCAAAACTTGGGCTCGCATGTTACTAACAGTGCCTTACAAGACATCTATCATATGTGGTGTTACTCCCATTCAAAACTGCGTATTCTCACCCATTTATTCTACTATAGCATCTTCTAGGAAGAGTATTATTGAATTGGTATAATTCAGTTTAAAAATAAGTGCTTCAACATAGTTAACAGTTGCCGAGGAAGCTTGATTGCTCAAGTCCCAAAACCAACCATGCAATATATTAGGGCTTAAGTCTTTGTCAGGCTTAACATTTATTCTTAGATACCCCCCAAGCTTTTTTATTATTTAAACCGGAAGAGGGAGTTTAGTGTAGTGGTTTCAGGAGCAGTTGTAATAATTATATTGCACCTGACAACTAAATGGCTTTATGAATTATCCTCTGAGGAGGACATTGATTGGGATATTGCTGACTTTTTTTCGTATTCCTCATTTGACACCAACACCAAGAACTGGGCAGTCCACTGTGGGCCAACCATGGATGTATAATAGCAAACTAACACGTAGCCGTTTCTGTAGAGGTCATGCAGCGGATGGCAGTGCCAGTTGGCTCTCAGGGAGAGTATATCAATAAAGGCTGTGTTAATGCTGAGTCCTATTTACTGCTGCATGAACGACTCACCTGGCACGTTTGTTATTTATTTGGCCCATTGTTTTGGGATACTCGGACATTTTATCCTTTGCCACCTAATAGGTCCCAGCCAGAAGGGCCCCTCGATTTAGGAGATACCCCTACCCGAGGTTAGACAAATGACAACAATGATTTTTCTTATCTTTGGGGCTCTCCGCCATTAATGAAATTGATTGTTGGTCCAAGTTTGTCATTTTGGCGGGGGAAAATCTTTATTTGTGTTGGCGAAAGGCTGACAAGAAGCCCATAACTTCAGATATGACAGAGTATTTTCCTCTTGTCAGATTTGCTGAGGTATGCAACCCAGGCTGCGCTGTCTACATCACTAATGTCAGACAATTATTGTAACTAAGAAATACTGAGCCTTATAGTCCTGTAAACTTGCTTGTAGTTAGCAGATTGGTTACTTTTTGGTATAGCGGACATGGACTCACTCACTTTTCTTCTGCATTTATCGCAGAACACGCAGAAATTTCCCTTAAATTATACCGCCATTACCTGAATTTGTCTTAGGGTGCTATGAACCCGGGAGGGGGGTGCGAAGAACAGCGCGTAAGCAGTTACCTGCTAGAACGGAAGGAAGTAGAGCCCTGCTCCTACTGTGGGCCGAACACGAAAGGGAGTGTATGTCCTCACGCCGCTTTACTAGCAGAGGGGGCGGGGCGAGGCACTGCCTTCACTGCTGGAGTAAAGCGCGAGCACGGCTACCCAATAAGCAAAGCTTAACAGGGCGCTATGCCAGCCGGCTGCCTGCTCACAGTAAACACTGGCTTACAGGAGCGGGGGTGAAACACTGCCTCGTCACTGGGTTTGGAGTAAAGATAGCAACACAGGTAGGAAACTGGCTGCTTAAATGCAAAGAACGCCGGTAGATCCGGTGCGTACCTCACGACGTCAGCCGCAAAGTGGATGAGCCTGGGCAGGGGGACGACTGGTTAGGCTGAGCCGTGCTACCTACTTATATACTAAAGCTAAACAAGGAGCGACACTGAAAAGCTGCGCAAATCTCAAGATGCCCTAGATGATAGCTTGGGCGCAACGGCCGCGCCTTCAGAAAATACAGAGAGCCACAAGGGGCAACTCCTGGGGAGGAGGGGGCCGGATCGCCTGCCGCTCACCAGAAGTCAAGCCAGTCGGCAACCGAGCGACGAGAATCAGGGCAACTTAGCTGGGAGAGGTGACAGTGGGCAAGACACTGCGGTCACGAGCCAAGCGGACACCAACGCCTGTCGTTGAAGTTTTTGCGCAGCCGGCACGCTCCTGAGGGACGGTAAACCACCGCGGCTCCGAACTGAATCAGTCGCGAAGCTGCCGAGCAGTGGATGCAGAGAATCCTTAAATCAAACGTTCCCAAACTGAACGCTGTAGGCTACAATCTTTTAGCCGGTCTCTCGCGCAAGCGAGAAGATGAAGGAACAGATCTCTGATGACAGCGTCTCAATGTCTTGGGCCGCCCTGAGAGGAGTGCTCCTGAGACGCATCTGTGCCGCGGCGTCTTCTGGCACATTCTCCAGCGTTCTACCGGCGTGGCATGTCGACCACCCCATCCTTTGGCGTGGTCTTATGCAAGCTCCCTGCTTCCTGTGAGTCCAGATGACCGGCAGAGTTCTGTCCACTCAGATTATTGTGTGCCCCGGAAGATTGCTGGGAAATCTCTGCATGACATGCGGTGTACTGTGGGTCACATGTGACTTGTTTTATGATCCGTGGCGCTTATGTTGCTTTCTGGAGTGATCTATTATTTCCAGTGTCTAAATGCACGTTCCTTGCTGCGTGGTATTCGGTCATTAGCGTTATTTACAGACGTAACTTGTTCTCTATGAAATATTGTGGGAAAA